GTAACATGTGGGGGGGCGGGGGTGAGGAAAAGCACGGGGAGGGGCAAGGAGGGGGGAGAGGAGAGGGGAGTCGGGAAGGCGCCGTGGAAAAGCGCCGCGGCGGTGGACCACAGGCAGCACCACAGGCAGCACCACAGGCAGCACCCCCTGCCCCCCTGACCCCCTGACCCCTTCTTATTATTCCCCCATCCCCTCCCAAAGCCAAGGGCCGCGTCATTCCCTCACCCCGAACACAACCTTTGCATGGCCATCCGTGTACGTTTACAAAAAACGGCCTTACGTCACGTCGCATGTACGGTACTCGCTCGTCCGCCAACGACCTGCCAACTGAGCAGATCACCGCTTCCGCCTTTCTTACGACCGACCCCCAACGGGTGCTGTCCCAACGGCTGCCGATCAAGGCAACCCAATGGGGCTACAGAAGGTCACTGAACGGAATAAATACCAAACCAGCACACAGGACGATGGGAAACGATTAAAATCTATTAGGAAAACCCGCGCCCTGCCCGCGCCAACTGCCTTAAGAAAAGCTGCCGTACCGCCAGTCCACGAGCTGTACGGCGCCCACCGCCTCCACAACCCCGCGCGGTCGCTCCAAGGCCGCCCGGATGAGAGACAAGCAACGAGACTGCTGGGGGGAAAACGGCTGCCGGTCCGAACCCTTGCCACCGCCGCCGTTGCCGCCGCTGCTGCCGTACACCGCTTCCTCCTGCTCGTCCTCTTCTGCCGTCGCCGCTGCGTCCTCGTCCTCCGCGCATTCCGCCACCCCAATCAGCGCCTCAATCACCTCCTCGGGACTGTACTGCACCGCGGCGGCGGCGGCAGTAGCAGCACTGGCAGCTGTAGCAGCAGCCCCCCCGGTACCGCCGTAGCGTTGTTCCCATTCCGCCGCCAGCACACGCCGCAGCTGCTCGTTCTGCTCGTCCACCCCGTCGTACAGTACGAGATGTGTGACGCGTTCGTCCCACGCCTCCACCACGACGCCGCCGTGTCGTACCACGGCCGCTTTGAGCGCCTCCACGCGGTCCCGTGGGTCCTCCGCGATGGCCTTGTGTGCGCGTGCCGTACAGTCTGCCACACCCGTCAGCAGCCCCAGCGGCGCGGATATGCGCGGCGGCGGCGCTGGCGGCGGCGGAATGTCGTGCATTTCCAGGAACAGCAGCGTCAGGCCAAGAAACATAGAACCTGGCGGCGGCTTCTCGCCAATGTCGTGAATCTCGTCCCGGATCCGTCGTACGATGTCGTCGGCCGTTTCGTACAGGGCTTCGGGGACGATGCGGCAACGGAAAGGGCCAATATTGAGAATAAGGACCGCAGGCTGCCCCCGGGGTCGCTTTCACCCCTCTTCACCCTTATTGTCGTACGATGTACAAAACACACATATCCTCGAGTTCTCCCCAGATTCCTCCTCCCCTCCCCCTCCCCCTCCCCCTCCCCCTCCCCCTCCCCCTCCCCCTCCCCCAGCCCACCCCGCCACACGTACCCTCACCAACCTCCACCCCACCATAACCCACTCCACGTATTCCCCCATCCCCGACCCAGGGGTGTGGTTATGACGGCGCCCGCGTGACAGCAGTTTTCCTTTTCCCCCTTCTTCCCCCCCCCCGCCCCCTCCCCCCCCGCTGTGTCAAGACTCACTAGTTCGGCCGTCTGTATGTCGCCTGGCATCCGCCTGCCTCGCCCGCCGCCGCGCCCTGGCTGGCATCTCCGCCGCCGCCTCCAACAGCCGCCGAGCAGCCGCCAGTTGCTCGGACGTGATGTGACGACACAAAACCGCCTCCAAGTCCTCCTCGCCCAACTGCTCAAAGTACGGATCGCCGTACGGATCCAGTACGGCAGAGTACTGCTCGCGGGTCTGCGTCGGGATGTCGTCAGGATACGAAGTTTGCGGCCCCGGGCATTACATTAGGACCATTCGGGCCTCATGATGAGGCGGCCACCCTAACCACCCTAACCACCCTAACCACCCCAATACACAGTTTTTTCACCTTCCGTTACATATAATAATAACCCAAAGCAAACAAGAACCTTAATTCCCCTTTGCTCGTACAGGTAGTTGCCTTGCTGCCGGGGCTTCAGTTTTACTCTCGTCATCTCGGGCCGTAGTAACGGTGGCCCCGCCAAACATCATATACACCACAAACACGAATACAACACATACACGCATACACGCATACATACATACCTACATACACGTACCGTCACACTGATGCTCCACGCCAGGGAGGGGGGTGGGGGCTCCAGCAGCTCTCTCCGCTCCGAAACCCGCATCAGCCACTCGGGTCGCAGCAGGTCGAGCCGGGCGGCCAGGGGCCCCAGCACGGGATCGGCGGGGAGCCGGGGGGGATCGCAGCGCCCCACGATGATGTACGACGTGCGTTGCGGGCCCGATGGAACCTGTGTATGGGGGTGGGGTGGGGGTGGGGGTGCCGTGTTTGAAACCAGCGCGCGTGTATGTCTCTGTATGTCTGATCCAGCCGCCCATCTGATGAAAAACAAACATACAAGCATACAGACATACAGACATACAGACATACACATAAAATCCCCTGGACACCCGTACACCAATAACAGCGGTAATTTGTCTTAGCATCCGTGCATATTGTAAATTACCTTACCAATTACGGAAGAGGCCAGAGACGCGAAATTCTGTCGTACGGACTGCTGGTGTTATTATTTACTGCCAACAAACTAACAGTCGTACGCGCATTCTCCCCAATGCGCAATCGTCCCCTGTGTGTGCATGTGCTCCAGATGCTTCGCCCATATGTATGTCCCCTGCCCCCCCTCCTCCCCTGCGCCCCCAGCCACCCAGACCTCCCCAACCCAACAGCAGGGCACCAAAATCCCACAGACATGCATACATACAGAAAGACACACAGACAGACAGACAGACGCACTCTCTTACGAAATTCTGGGTCTCTACTCCCCCCAACTTCTTGATCAGCGCCGCCAGTTGCCGCCTCTGCTCCGTGGTTAGGTCTCGGAGCAAGATGTACCGCCCCCCAAACACGTCCACCTCCACATTAACCTGGGGGGGGACGTCCGCGCGTACATATGCGTGTATCTACGTGTATATGTGTGTATGTATGCATGTATTTATGTATGTATGTAAAAGAGGTGTATGTATTAAGGAGAAGGTAGGACAGCAATATACGTCAAGAGAACCCCCTACAGTACCCCCCCTGGCTTCCCCCCCTGCAAAGCGCCCCCCCTTCCCGGGGGGGGAAGGAGAACTCCAACACGACCACCGCCACCCCTAAAACACACCCACGTGTGACACGTCCACGG